GTAATCCACAACGGGAAAATTACGGAAGCCTTCGAAGTGAGGACGGGAGTGAGGCAAGGCTGTCTACTATCGCCAATGATCTTCCTGATTGCAGTAGATTGGATAATGAGACAGACAACGGGGCAATGAGGAAACAGGCATAAAATGGACTCACACAAAATACTTGGAGGATCTGGACTTCGCCGATGATATATGTCTGGTTTTCCACAAACTGGAAGATATGCAAGTGAAAAGAAACAAGCTGGCAGAAGAAGCATCGAAGATAGGACTTCCTTCAGGTGAACATTGATAAAACAGAGGTGATGAAGATTCCTGGCCAACACCAACAGCAACAACAACAACAGACAACAATCAGCCAAATAAATGGGAGGAACCTGAAAGAAACAACCTCCTTTACTCACCTACCTACCTGGGAAGCATCGTTTCAACTACAGGCGGAACTGACGAGGATATCAAAGCCAGAATCGGAAAAGCAAGACAAGCTTTCATTACTCTCAAGTCTGTGTGCAGGTCAACACTCAGCACTCAGCATCAAAAATAAGATCCGGATTTTCAACTCCAATGTGAAATCAATCAGTGCTACTCACCATACGGATCAGAGACTTGCACTGCGCGTCATAAAGAGCATCTCAAACAAACCACAGACCTTCATTAACAGTTGTCTTCGCTCAATACTCAAGATCAGATGGCCGACCAGAAAAGATCAGCAACAGGGATCTCTGGCAATGAGCGAACCAACACAGCAGGAACCGACTGTGAAACAAATAGGCAGGAAGAAATGGAGATGGATTGGCTGGCCATACTTTGAGAAAACGAACCATCAAGTGACATCACTAGACAAGCCATTGGTCGAGTGGAACCCGACAGAATGGGAAGCGGCGAGTTGGTCGTCAGTGCAGGGTGACTTGGAGGAGGCCATGGTAGGAGGAAATGGAAGCATGTGGGCAGACTTGGAGCAGGGTGAAAAAGTTGGCAGAAAACAGAAGGCAGTGGAGACGCGCAGCTGAAGCCCTATGTTCCTCTAGGAATTAAAGGATAAAATAATAATAATAATCCTACCCCTAACGAGCTATTAACACACTGTCCAAACAGTACTTAAAACATGATCCGGCTGCAATTTGCTGATTAGCTTGTGAATAGTGTTGATATTTCAACTATGATAATGATAGGGGCTGTTAGCCTATGACTAGCATGCGTTCAAGGTCACTGAAGCTTTCGCACTCTTAGATCGCTATAGTTTGACTCTGTCCACTACTCGACATCATACTCAATGTATGCTACTTCACAGGATGAATTTCATTGGTTTTGCCGGAGAGACGTATCTTATTGAACAGCTGCCAAACTGCACGACACTGAGCTCTATCCCTGCTTAATATGAAATGCTGTGATAATTCAACCACACACACACGCACACAGACCTAAACCTCGCCTAGCCCGTGATCACTTCAGAAAAGCGGGAAGGCTGAACATGTAAGGCTAGGCAACCCAACCCGCATAAACCACATCCAGAATAGGCTGGACAAAGAATGACTGCATTTCAGGCATGTGAAAGCTAATGAAGAAGGAAAGGATGGTAAATTCGAAGGTAAACCGATGCAAGGGTAGACAGAGATAGAGAGAAGAAGCTGAGTTCATTGTAGAAGGCACTGAATGCCAACGTGATGAAGAGTGCTTGGAAGGACAAAATACAATTCTACAGCATATTGTTAACTGTAGTAGAAAAGGTTGAAAGTAAGAGGCACCTTGAGTCGCTATAACAGATAACCACGTCACTATCAACACAAATAAGACTAACGGAAGATGGTGAAAGCGACCTAATTATCATTTGTTAAAAATTGTTTTTGATGATAGCTTGATTTCACACTGTTTTTTGGTATATGCATGGGATTTGCAGTGTGTGATATTGGTAGCCCTAATTTTGTATGCCAATCATTAATATCACGTGTGTCCGCAGGAGATCGAATGCCAGTCCACTGCTGTACCACAGACACAAACAAACCTCTTGCGACTGCCGAGACAAGAAGCAAAGTAAAAAACGAGCTGATCGCTTCAAAGGAATCCTGAACCTACCACCCCTTGCACCTTTTCTAGAAATATCACCAACTGCCATAGAAGTGACAGCAAATAATCACTATCCCATTAAGGCTGATATCAGCTCATGGCGAAATCCTCCATGCAATCAAACAAAATCCCTACAAAACCAATACCTGAAAATTCATCTGATGCTCACTAGCGACTAGCCCTGTTCAGGCAGTTAACTAGGGGTTCTAGTGCGAAGCCACGACCAGTAGGGCACAGCACGGTTGAAGATGAGGCAGTAACTCATCGAAGAAGACATTGCGAAATCGTTGCGCTATGTTGTGAATTGCCTCCAAAGCCTCAGGATGGTCGGGGGTGGGTGCCTTGCGCTGCGGGTTGGCCACCCCTCCGCACACCTCTTGAAATGCTCCCATATGACCGGGCGTCTTACATAGCCTCTCCTGAGGAAGTCCTACTCATTGCCTTCACGTGGCGGAGGTGTTTCTCACCAAAGTGAGAGGGCGAAAGCGGATGCCCGGCGCTCTCCACCGGGTTGACTGTCCATTGGATGACGGTCTAGGGGAGATGGCTAAACCCTGATTCCAAACCTCCAACGACTGGCGTATGAAGCTCACTGGAGCTCACCGGCAGACGTATGGACAAAGGGCTTGTTGGATTTCCTGGATGTCTGGCCCCATTCAAAAAGGCGTATGAACCGAACTCCAGTCACCGGCTGCCAATGGATAGTGGACTCCTTACTCCACTCCTACTGCCTTGTAGGTCACACTTGGCTGTGTAAAGGCTAGAGCTGCACTCTCAAACAAAAGGCCGAGCGATGCTGGGGACATCACTCGTACCAAATTCCCATGAAACTTCATGAACTCTCTTCATCAGATCGCCGCGCCTGGGCAGCGATGATTCGAGATGTTCATGAAGCCGGCTCATCCTCCCGTAGGAGATAGCCGAAGTAAAGTAAAGTAAGTAAGTATGTTGTGAATTGGCAGAAGTTGGAATTCATGGGCTAGCCATTGGATCGGGTCATCCCTGGAGGTGGGTGCTTGCTGATGAAGAGTCCCAAACTAGGCTAACGAGACAGTTGATTGTCCAATACTCCCTTGTAGGTTTTCCAATGGTTCTCTAACCGATATCAGCTGATGATGAAATCCTACACTCAGAGGCGGTAGTCTTGAATGCCATAAGGCTATACTGAAAGCCGTGAATTCAGTAGGATTAGGTGGAATCGCCCTTGAAGTACATTGAATCACGTCAACTAGCAGAGACTAAGTGATGCTGTAGATGCGAAACCTCTCCCCTCCGCCCAAAAAAAGAAACAAGCTGAATTCAAGAACAGCCAACTGTAACGCTAGCCATCATCTTTAGATGGAGCATAGAATGGCGGTTAAGTCTCTGTCTCAGCTTAATCAACCTTGAAAAGGCCTTCAACAGCTTGGACGGTGAAGGAAAGGCAAATCATGTTCTGACCAAATTGCAACTCTATGCATCATCATCATCACAGAACAAGGCATGGAATAGCAATCAAACCTCTAACTCAACTTTATAGACTTTGAGAAGGCCTTCGACAGACAGCGTTGACCACGAAGTAATTTATAAACTACTCGAGTATTACGGGGTACCCCAAATATCTATCAATCTTAATCAACAGCTGTACGACAATGGCACATGTCAAGTGATCCACAATGGAAAATTCAGCGAGGCGTTTCGAGTAAACACAGGAGTCAGACAAGGGTGCCTATTATCACCAATGATATTCCTAATTCTGGTGGACTGGATTATGCTTCAGACTGTGAGTAGGAAACGAGAAGACAGGGATATCCTGGACCGACGTGAAGAACTTAGAAAACCTGGATTTCCCGCGCGGTTGATTTATATTTGATGTCACACAAAAATCGAAGACTTACAAGCGAAAACCGACAAACTGGTCGAAGAAGCAGACGGCGAAGACAGGACTGCGAGTGAACATAGACAAGACGGAGGTGATGAAAATAACCAACCAAAAACAACAACAGCGGCAACATCCAGTGCCAATCACCATCAACAGGAGGGATTTGAAAGAGGTTACTTCATTCACCACTTATCTGGGGAGCATTGTCTCAACTACACGCAGTCGGAACAGACGAGGATGTCAAATCGAGCGAGATTCGGGAAGGCGAGAAACACATCAACATCATCAACCTGAAACCAATCTGGAAATCTTCGTCACTCAGCCAAAATCAACAACAAAGTTCAGTCGGATTTTCAATACAACCGTCAAGTCAGTCGGTTCTTCTAGACGAATCAGAAACTTGGCGGGTGGGTCACAAAGAATATTTCCAACAGCCTGTTGAAGACCTTTATCAACAACAACTGTCTTCGCTGGCTCTATACTGAAGATCAGGTGGCCGGACCGGAAAGAATCACCAACAACAAGAAACTATGGGAACAAACAAACAAAACAAGAACCAATCGCCAACCAACAAATATGCAGGAGAAAGTGGATAGAGATGGATTGGACACTCACTCGCTGAGGAGGCCAGGTGGTGACACTGCGCGCGCATCAGACCATCACTCGAGTGGAACCCAAAAGGGGAGCGACGATTGGGACGTCAGTGCAATGGTGACATGGAGGAGATCGTGTGAAGGGGAGTTGAAACAGTATGGACTAACATGGATGCAGGTGAAAAGTACATCAGCAGAAGACAGAAGCAAAAGGGGACGTGCGGTTGAAGCCCTATGTTCCACTAGGAACCCAAGGGAACCATTATAATAATAAATAATTTTCCGGACACCATCTGTAAGCCTTGAGTTCTACCAACCCTTGGATAAATTTCTGATTGGCTCCAAGAGACTGGTGAACAACCTCTCAATATTCTTCAATCGGTATACAGCAGCTCCCAGTACCACTAGAACAAACAATACAACTATACAAATATTTAAAAGAAAAATCAATAAATCAATAATAATTTTTTTTAAGAGAAACACACCTCGATTGCTTTTAAATTTCCACAGATAGCTGCCCTGTGCAATGCTGTCATTGTATCAGAATCCCGATAGTCTACATGTGCACCACAATTGACCAGCTGTAAAATGATTTCGCGGGGGTCAGATAACTCTGCAGCACATCCCAACGGTGTGACTAGACGGGGGGAGAGAAACACGTAAGAGTAAGATAGAGTACTCCCATTGAAATTCATTTTAATGTGAAGAAAACTGTCATTGTAAGAGTGATTTACGTTACATTTAGGTTTTTTATCACACGGTTAATGTGACGAAGAGTGTAGTGTGAGTGAGTGAGAGAGACATTTGAGAAGTGAAGCTGTGCATTAGAGCTTGACACGAGTTCTTGAAGAAAAAACATCTCACTTTGAAAATGTGATGTTATCCGTGGACGGCTCTTAGGAGACCACATTTGGCAACCAGGGGGACGAAACATTCCCATAGATAGCTATGGATTCGCCTAGCCTACAAAGTAAACTGGATCACTATTTTCTATAGTTTGGTTTTGTAAGGGTTATTTATGTTTTTACGAGTTGATCACGGATTGATATGAGTTAGAGACCCACTGAAAACCAGGGATTACTGGACAGCTGCTGTTTCATCCTTGTTTGGGAATCATCGGCAGTACACACCCACCACCAGGGTTAGAACCCAGGACCTTCAGGTTACAAGGTAAGCTCGTATACCATTCAGCCACTGGGACCCAATTTAATGGCTCATGAATTCTAACTTCTACCAATTCATGATTTAGCGCAAACCCAACGATTGTCATTGATGGGACATCCATCCGCACACAGGACATCTAATTGGACCTCACTGGTCACGACGACTTCTCACAAGAACTCCAGAAAACTCCATTATCATCACTAGCGAGCATCAGATTAACTTTCTATAGTTTAGTTTGTAAGGGTTAGTTATGATTTTACGAGTTGATCATGGATTGATATCTGTTAGAGAACCATTGAAAATCAGCACTGGAGTACTGGACAGTTGCTGTTTCATCCCACTAGTTTAAGAATCATCGGCAGTACGCACCCACTGGGATTCGAACACAGGACCTTCCGCGTACAACGTCACTATTTGTTACGTACGCCATTCTCTCTCTCCCTGCTGCAGGATACTTAACTGTGGAGACTACCAGAAGATGAAATAACCCATCTAGAACTTTACGCATAGTCATAATGTGGATACATTCCAAAGAATAAAGTTACTGGTGTAAAGCAGGTTTTATCTTCACTGGAAGCAGATTTTTTTTTTGATTTACAGCTTGATTCCACACTGTATTTTTGGTACAAGTATGGAATTTTCAGCATGGATATCGGTAGCCCAAATTTTGCAGGCCGACCATAGATATCAGGTGTGCACCGGCGTGGGCTCGAACCCCGGACCATGTGCATGGTCGGCGAGAGTCCTAACCACTGTGCCACCGACGCACTAATGGAGGGATATTCAGTCTCTCAACTTTCAGGTTTCAGTGTGAACTGACTTCGGTTAAGGAGAGAACTACTGAGAACCAGGTAGTGCTGGACAGCTATTTCACAGGTGTTCACCAACAGAGAAATTTGATCAAATCCATGTAAACCAAACACCTGAAAATTTTTCTCTAGTACTTTTTAGTGACTGACCGTGGGATGTGGATATCTAGTGAAAGTTCGTGACCCGAGGGGTTCATCAAGTCTAATGTAAAAACAGGGACTCGCCGATAATATTGACTGGCGGTGGCGTTTTCTATCCAGAATTAGCATAACTTAGGATTCATGATTACCTGGATTTCGTGTCAGTGGATGAACGGTTGACAGGTTTGCCTTATTACCCTAAGGTCATGCGTTTGATCCTTGGAGGTAGGGTTATGGGTGCGTACTAATGAAGAGTCCTAAACAAGACGGTCCAGTATTCCATGATAGTTTTAAAGGATTCTCTAACTGAAATTACTTCAGTTAAAGCAAAGACCTTCTGGTTACAAGGCCAGCGAGCTCGTAAACCGTTAAGCAACAATGACTAGATCCAATGGCCAGTCCATGAATTCTAACCTCTGCCAATTCACGACATAGCGTGACCATTATCCAATGTTATCTGTGGCGTGTATCTGCCCTCACACCCAGTCTGCTGCAGCCTACTGGTAATGACTTCCCAGGCAGGTAGTTACCTCGACTTTAGTGGGAAGTCATGACCAGTAGAGTGCAGCAGGTCAGGTGTAAGGACAGATACTCGCCGAAGACATTGGCTGGCGGTCACGCCATGTCGTAAATTGGCAGAAGTAAGAAGTCATGAGCTGGCCATTGGATCGGGTCCCAGTGAGTGGCTTAATGGTCTACAAGCTCTCTCGCCTTGTAACCAGAAGTTCCTGGGTTCGAACCCTGGAAGTGGGTGGGTGTGTACTGATGAAGAGTCCCAAACCAGGTTGTAGGGGACACCTGTCCAGTGTTCCCTGGCAGGTTTTCCAATGGTTCTCTAACCGATGTCAGTTTATGATGAAATCCTGTAACCAAAAAACCAAATACTTGATACTGAGCACATCTCGGCCTTTACCAGTAGCCTTAGTTTAAATGTCTTTAGGTAGAGTGACAGTAAACTAGTGAGACACCGCATACATCCCCAAGTACTAAGTTATAACAGTGCAGGCCAGAGACGAAGAAGTCAGACATTCGACAGATTAGAATTTTAAACTTTCAAACCACTTTGATCTGCCTGAGTAAGAGCTTTTAAATAGTGGAAAATGTTGAGAGAAGGCAGGATTACAGCTGATCATTTTATTCAACATTCTGTTTGATGTATCACTTTAGGTTGAAGCAGGCTTAAATAGCCCCCTGTGGGAGATAATCTTAGATGAAGAGAAATATTAAAAAGAAGAAATGGTGGCTCATCGCAAAAGTCAATCCACCTCGAAAACTAGCGACTACAAGGTTGTATGTATACTAAATCGAGTTGTTGGATACCTCTAGATAAAAAGAGAAACCTTATTTATTCTCTGTGTTCCAGAGTTGTGAAAATATGCTCTAAGTATGTAGTTGACAAGGAACTCAGAAACCTTCGCACAGTGCTGTTTCATAACGACTTCGATAGGTTTATTGAAAACACAGTGTCAAAAGAGACACTAATGAGTCTGACATTCAAAAGGGATACTAGCACTGAAGTAATTAAAAGTCGCAAACCCAAAAGTATGAATCGGTGGTAGATGGAGGATAAACTACTGCTTATATCCACCTTTATATGCGTTTTATCTTTCACATGATCCTGTGCAGCTGGTTACGTTGAACTTTGTGAGCGTGGTCTCCGGAAGCGCATAGCTGAACAATAACTCAATTGATTGGTAAGTGATCAAGGTTGGATAATAAAGTGTTCTGCCTGCGTACATCTTCATCAGTCGTGTTATTTAGACCCAAAAAGATTGATCTTTAATAACTGTCTAAAGGACTAAGGTTAGTTGTTGGAAAGACTTACGTTTTCTTCACTTATGCATGGCCGAAGCACTGGCTATTACAAATTGACAAAAGCAGTGTCCAAGTGGCTGATTGGTCTAAAACCCCACCTTTTAACCAGAAGTTCTTGGGTTCAAACCCAAGTGAGTGTGTACTGCTGAAAAGTTCAAAACCGGTGCGAAACATCTATCCAGTACTCTCTAGTTTGCCAGCAATTATCTAATTGACGTCAGCTCATGATGAAAATTGTAACTAATCAAATCCTTGAAAAACAACACTTAAAAATGTTTTGTTAAAACCCTTTTCTTTATTTTATTGATTGTAATGTCGTTTATTTATGTCGGTTACTTGCATTCCATCTCCCTTTATCTTGTCTTTCATTATTTTTGATAAAGTTTACGGACTTTAAACTTCTTCTTTGTTGAGTGAGTAATTTTCCATGCTACTAAACGCCGTTTTACATAATATAAACACGACAGTAATAGATAATGACACCAATAAGCTGATTGGGTTTAATGAATCATGAAACTACTGAAATCAACCAATCAGAAAGTGTGCAAGTTACCCATAGGTGCGTAGGTGGTCACCATACATACGTTCTCTGATTGGTAGATTTCAAGGAATTCGATGACAAATTCACACTAATCAGCTGATTGATGTTGATGCACGTATGGGAAATATCTGCTAAACAAATTTTTGATAAATTTAATGAAATTTGAGAAAAGGAAAAGAAATGGTCAAAAGAATTCGAAGTCTGTTTTCACATTCTCATGTTTAAATTTACCTCCATTTGAAGGATATTGAAAATTTGGATCCAAACCTTGATTGAGAAGATCTGTTACCCGTGGAATATCATTTCGTTTAATTGCAGATAATAGGCGTTTCTGGTAGTGCTATAACAATTTAAAAGACACAAATAAAATAAAGAAGTGTCTAGCGGAACAAGACACATTTAAGTAAACAATATGCTTTTTTTCAATTAGATCTTCTTCAGGTTTTACTCTAATTTATTATTATTATATCCTTTAATTCCTAGAGGAACATAGAGCTTCAGCTGCGCGTCTCCATTGCCTTCTGTTTTCTGCCAACTTTTTCACCCCGCTCCAAGTCTGCCCACATGCTTCCATTTCCTCCTACCATGGCCTCCTCCAAGTCACCCTTGCACTGACGACCAACTCGCCGCTTCCCATTCTGTCGGGTTCCACTCGACCAATGGCTTGTCTAGTGATGTCACTTGATGGTTTTTCTCAAAGTATGGCCAGCCAATCCATCTCCATTTCTTCCTGCCTGTTTGTTTCACAGTCGGTTCCTGCTGTGTTGGTTGGCTCATTGCCAGAGATCCCTCCCTGTTGGTGATCTTTTCTGGTCGGCCATCTGATCTTGAGTATTGAGCGAAGACAACAGTTAATGAAGGTGTGTGGTTTGTTTGAGATGCTCTTCATGACGCGCAGTGCAAGTCTCTGATCCGTATGGTGAGTAGCACTGACTGTATTTCACATTCGAGTTGAGAATCCGGATCTTATTTTTGATGCTGAGTGCTGAGTGTTGACCTACACACAGACTTGTGATTAATGAAAGCTTGTTCGCGTTTTCGATTCTAGCTTTGATATCCTCGTCAGTTCTATCGGCCTGTAGTTGACACGGTGCTTCCCAGGTAGGTAGGTGAGTAAAGGAGGTTGTTTCTTTCAGGTTCCTCCGAATTATGGAGGCTGATTGTTGCCTGTTGTTGTTGTTGCTGTTGGTGTTGGCCAGGAATCTTCATCACCTCTGTTTTATCTATGTTCACCTGAAGTCCTATCTTCTCCGGTTGCTTCTTCTGCCAGCTTGTTTCTATTCACTTGCATATCTTCCAGTTTGTGGGAAATCAGACACATATCATAATCGGCGAAGTCCAGAGCCTCCAAGTATTTTGTATGAGTCCATTTTATGCCTGTTTCCTCATTGCCCACCCGTTGTCTGTCTCATTATCCAATCTACTGCAATCAGGAAAATGATTGGTGATAGTAGACAGCCTTGTCTCACTCCCATCCTCACATCGAATGATTCCGTAATTTTCCCGTTGTGGATTACTTGTCATGCAGCATTGTTGCATAAATGTCGAATGAGATGTATAATTGTCGATGGGACCCCTTTGGTAGTAGCGAAGTAGTTGGCAAATCACCTCTCGATCGACGCTGTGCTGTCAAAGGCCTTTTCAAAGTCGATGTAGTTGAGTGAGATGGAGAGGTGACTGCCATTCCAAGCTTTGTTCAATGATCCGTAGAGTGCGATTTGATCAATACATGACTTGTTTCTCCTGAATCCAGCTTGTTCCAGTCGAAGTTTTCATCCAGAATGGCTTATTCAATTCTCTCGAAATGTACTTCTCAATATCTTATAATTGGCTTTAAAGCAGGTAGCATGGATTTCTTGAAGAAGACGAAGCAGATATATCACATAATGGAGGGGTTTAGGCTTCAGCTCAGAGACCATTGTGTGTTACTGTAAGGATATGCTGACAATTAATGCTTTACTTGAAGATATTGTACGAAGGCGAAATATCATGCAATCAATTTCTCTAAAAATTCTGTACATTTTTGTAAATATTGTCGAGAATAAAGACGCTATTATCATTATTATTAATTCTAATAAGGTTCATGCAATTGGTGATAAGAATAACTAAGGCAGTAACATGTGTGTATATGTAGACAATTCAATAAATAAATAAATTAGGTGAAATCCCAAAAGTTACGTAATACTAAATGTAGGTGAAGTGGACAGATGATCACAATTTAAATAATAAGTATCATAAAAGTACAAAGGAAATGAAAAATAAGAAAGGGTGGTGGGAGGGTTTTAATTAGAATTTATCTATGCCAAAGGAGAGACAAGAACATTAGAGATGTTCTCTCTGGTTCCTACAGTTTTGACTTTGTGTCAAAGTTGGGTTCGAATTCCTTTTAAAGGCTGGATTGAATGTGATAGATAACTTTGAAGGCACTTCTTCCGTCCACTTGGTAATCTCTATCACATCAATCAAATGAGACAAAATAGAACCTTTTTTTCAATTATCGGATAAGTCCAAGTAAAATCTAAAAGAGGTTCTATTTCGTCTCATTTGATTGATGTGATAGAGATTACCAAGTGGACGGATGAAGTGCCTTCAAAGTTATCTATCACATTCAATCCAGCCTTTCGAACTGAATCCGAACCCATCTTTGACATCTAGCCAAAGCTGTAGAAACTATAGAGAACACTCCTAGTGTCTTCGCACACACAAAAGTGTTTTGCTACCTTTGTCTCTTCCTTTCTTAGCCTAGGTGAATTTTTCATAATCCAGCAAAAGCTCGACAAAATGTTGGTCCTAAATCTCCAAGGAGATCATTGAGTCTACGCGCAACCCGTCAAGTCACAACACCAGCTATGCGGAAATATCTTGATCTTCAGATGAATGGTCATGATGCACGTCTGCAGCCAGATACCGCCTCTGATATTACTGTTATATCAGAGAAACTTTGGAATAATATTGGCAGACCACCTATCACCAATACTTCCCAGTCTCTTGTCAGCGCCTGTGGTGGGCGGCTCAAACTAATTGGTGAACTCAAATGTTCTGTTTCTTTCCGCAATACCAAATTCACAGGAATTTGTTACGTCACCAAGAGTGATTTAAATCTTTTAGGACTTGATTGGTTCGATCGTTTGCATCTGGCTGATGTCCCACTAAATTCGCTATGCAATGCAGCCAAGAAGCATAAAATGTTAGACAATTCCGGACGGAGCCGAAGCCGCAAACCCAACATCAGACAAACGACAGGCATCAATAACAAGCCCAAAGGTCCCAGATAAACCCCCAGGTAAACATCCTACTAATCATCCATCTTCTCAAAAGGGGAGGTGATATGTATCCACATATATATATTTACGTGTGTGTGTATGTTGGTCCCTCTTTCTGTTTGGTCGTTTAGTCTGTGACCACTTCACTTGTATGAACTTGTCTCCTTTATCAATGTATATTCTCCTTATATTATATTATATATAATATGAGTGTTTGTTGACAGTCCGTTGCTTGATGACATATATCCATATATGGTTGTTGACATGTCTGCTATATTCGCTATGTATATTTGGATCGACACTCCATTATAATTAGCCATTCATGTTAAGACTGTCTAATGATTTTCCCACGCTTTGTCTGGAACATTTATATATATTCGCATTCACAATTTGTGTAAACTACTTTACAACTACTTTACTTACTTATCACTTTGGTGTGAGACCATTTACTTTCGTCTCCTTGTGTTTGGACAATAGAAGTATCATCGCAAACCTAGGGGTCTTCTGATTTCCGCCTTCTCGCGTCAGGACTATTAGTTTCTCGACCAGTCCATAACAATAATTTACAGACGAGTACATAACAGAATTCTATTCAAAACCCTTCCTCCCCCCCCCCCCACCAAATACACATATATATACACATATTACCTTAATTATTCTCATCGTCACCTGCATAAACCTTATTATCAATATTTTGTTATCATTACAATCATCGTTATTACTGACGTTCAGAACATTTGCCACATTATTATTATTATTAATACTATCATTATTATTTGATTCACAAACTCACGGTTATTGTGATAGAATGATTACTGGGACTTAACTGAGCTTGATGAGTGGTGATGGATTACGCCTTTGTAATCGAGTCAGTCTTACATAAAACCCTGAACGAGGTCAGTCTCAAATACGATTAGCTCGGTAATAATATGTCCGACCAAATTACTGACTGACTGGGGTAAGAATTTTCTTTTTGGATATATTGGCTGGTTTTTGTTTCAGCATCACAGATTCTTCCCGCTAACAACCTCACATCTGAATCCAGAAGTGAGGTATTTTGGTCTAATATAAAAATCGATTATTATTATTATTTGAAAAATGATGTGGATCTGATAAGTGGTGACTTTCGTGACTCATTAGTCTAGTAAAGAATACTTAGTGAATTAAAACGCCAACTTTTGAATGTGTGCATCAGTGGAAATACAATCATTCACTGGGGATACAAGTGTATTTATCTACTGAGACCTTAAGAAGGATGAAATGGGAGTTGAATATTCCACTATCAATAAATCAGAGGCCTTCTACTTTCATTTGTCTCTCTGTATGTCTATCTGTTGTCGACATAGAAGAACTTTGCACCGATGTGCAGCAGTTCAAGTCACCACACTCCCCTCGTGTGGAACACAAAGAAAGAGAAAAAAGTAGAAGAAATGCATAATAGAGACAGTAAACAGAGGGGTGAAATACAGGAATAGTAATAACGAAGAACAATATAGTTTCATTGGGAATCATAATTCACAAGTAGTGGATGCATCTGGGCCAGCATATCACCAATTATTTCCAACCGTTGTTTTTTACCGTCTTAAGGACCCCAACCAGGAAGTCTACACCTTCCTACGTGGCTTAAATTAACTGTTGTGGATTTTGTTGACTAATGAGGCCATGTTATGGTTTGCCCACCATGTGCTAGCTTTTTTCCAGCCTGACCCCATGTCAGCTAACATTGCACCCATTGTTGAGGAAGGCGATGACTAGTCATGCATACGTAACACATGTCCTAACCATCTCAGTCGATGTAATTTCACAGCCTCATCGATTGATTTCTCCTCCCTCCTTACCTAGCACTCGACCAATGCTTGACCTCAATATTGCTCATCTTATCATACTACCACGTAACACGGGAGATAGAGCGCAAGCACCTTTGATCGAGGACAGCTGATCTTTTCATGTCTTCTACCCCCAATGGCCAAGTCTCACAGCCATAAAAGAGGACGGAGTGGACTGCTGAGCAGTACACCCACCCTTTGGTCGATAACCAGCTACATTTCACGTCTACGTCAGAGACGGTGTGAACTGGCATATGCGAAACTAGTCCTCTGTATCCGTTCTGAGATTTCATCAGAGATCAACCCGTAGGCACTGGCTGTTGCAACTTCCTAAATAAGTGATGCGGTCAACCAGCTCTACCACTTTACTCCCTATTTCTAAACTAGGAGTCAGTGCAGTCCAGTCCACTAACATTATCTTACATTTGGCTGGAGGGAATCGCATGTCAAACATTCGCAGATTGCAGCTAAAGTTGTTCAGAAGACTCTGCTGGATTTTGCCAGCCTTCTTCGCCTAGAAAGGACTATATCATCTGCATTCATTCATATCGTCTACCGTTAGTTGACAAAAAGAATTAAACTGACGTAACACTCACTTTCGATTGAATTCGTTTAGTTGGTTTACTTCCTTCTGTACGATATTCTTCAACAAATCGAACCTTCGGCAACAGCTGCATATGTAATGATGACAAAAAAAATATATACAAAAGAATTCGTGAAACGTCCACTCAATTTTTTTTATAGAATATTCTAATAATTTAGAAAACAAAACGGATTATTTGAGATCTTTCTAATAAAATTCAATTCACTCGACTGAAATGCTCAACTGTCCACTGTACACAAATAGGATATGAACATCTCCTGAAGAGTCTTCTTAGGTAGGACGAAATGAAAAAGTAAACCCGAAGTAGTCGCAATGGATTCAGGCATGAAACTAAATCGTCAGTTTGTTAGTGTGTTTTTAGACAGGTTTTAAGTATTAAGCTAAAATGCGCTGGAAATGTCATACCAACCGAGATGTATTCGATATCTGTTCCTTCTTAGCTCAGCATGTTTCAGAAATGTAAAAATTATGACTTCGTGCACAGACTGATTTGATACCATTGCAATTTGTGAAGGGTATGTGACCATTCTGCCATTAATAAGGAGACTTGTATTATTACTACTATTATTATTGTTGTTTCTTTTAGTTCCCAGAGGAACATAGGGCTTCAGCCGCTTATATAGAGACAGATTTATTACTAAATCCCGGTTCATTGAGTCTACACCCGATACACGCAACAGCAGTTTCATACATTTATTCCCCTTAATGAATTTGAACAAAGCAAGAAGTACAGTTTTAGCAGAATAAATTGGTACTATCATTGTTTATTTCGTTGCTTTCTCGTCAGCTGCTTACATGGCAAAAGACATTATTAAGTATATATCTACATGCAACAGAAATGACTCAATGCGAATATGGAAGATATTATTGCCGCCAGTCAGTCAAATTAGAGGAGGATGATAAATAATCTTAAAATTCTATTTGACTTCAATTCACATATATCATACTATTCTAACAAGTTACTTATTATGGTTACGAAAACACTCTACGTATTTCCCATCTGAGTGTAATTGATCAATAACACTCATATTATTATTATTATTTCTGAATGTACATTTACAAATTAATAGTGTTCTCTGGGCTGATTGGTTTAGTTGCAAAGATTTCCTGGTCCTACTAGACAACATCTACAGCGCAATATTTAGCATAAAGTGAAATGATTTAAATTTTTCTTCATGAGTGATGATATAATTGTGTCTCCCGGTAACCATCTTTACATCTGCATTGATCATTTTCTATTGACTTATATTTTAAACTTTGTCGTCACATGATTTGCTTTTTATTGGTTGGTGTATTTGGTCTATATTAACGTGTTTGTTAATTGCATATTCGTTTGAGTACCTAGCAGGCTTCTAGGAATTCACACCTGACAGCACTTTTGGTGTTTCCTCTGTCTAAGATTTCGACACTATCCCAGTTATCAAAATGATGTCCATAATTGTCTATATGCCTTGATTGATATGAAAGGATGTATATATCGTGTCTTTTCACGGCTGATTTGTGTTCTTGGATTCTGATTCGAAGGGGACGCCCACTTTGGCCGATGTAATGAATACACATTGTCCTAAAATGATTTTCATTCAAATATCTAGTCAAATCCACACATGTATATAAATGAAGTAAAAAGTTGTGTGAGGAGTACCTTGATATGATATTGAGCAATAGTTTGTGCTCGAAACGTCATCAGTTAATATTACTGTACAACACTGTGATAGTTTATCAAAATAAAATCTTATCCATAATGGAGTTATACTCTATACTCTATAGTCTTTTAAACTGTCATTCTCCAATAAACACCCGACTATTCGTCTCCCATACTGGCTCTACTCAAACGACAAGTGAGCGATATCATTGCGGTTTCTTCAGTCAATGTGCGGTCACCCGTCTCCATTTTCTCTTTGAGATATTTCTTGAGCGATAAGTTCCTAAATGGTTCTTCATCAAACTCGCATGTATTGCTTATTCTTTTTAGCCATCTGATCTCGAATAATACAAGTCTGAAGGCTGTTGAGGATGTTCTTGATGACACCTGAGCCATGTCTCCGAGCTATACAGAAGCACTGGCTGACTTGATACTAATGTTGGTAATCCCAGTCTTGTTTCTTATGCTGAATGCAGAAGATATACACAATGACTTCAGAATACTGAAGGTCTATCTTGCTTCCTGTCCTTGATAACACATTCTTGCTCAGTTTACTAGCCGCTCATAAGACCAGAAACATATGGAATGGCTTAGGGTTGGCAACTCTGTCCCAGAAAATCAATCCAATCGTTACAGATACTTCTATGCATAGATGCAGGCTGATGAAAGCCTTCAAGAAGCTATTCATCCAATTTTTCTTCTTTCAGTGAGAGCGAAAGTATGTTTGAATCTAAATTTTTTGTTCTTCTTATTATTTTACTCATTTACTTCCAGAATGTGACATAGGTGGCTTCAAGCTAGAGTTCTGAAGTTTCGATAGAAGGGGTTTTACAGGGCTGCTAGCTTCATGCCTAACCCCTATTCTTACTTACCTTACTGCTGGCTTAGCAAGGACCTAGGAGTACGTCGTCTGGGGGTCGATCCCCGGACGACATGAGTGGTTGGCGCACACGTCCTACCACTGAACCAACGACACCCCAAATGTTCTGGTAGACATTCATTATGTTAACTCAATAAATAGCAAATCTCCATTGCATCAGATTCGAAAACATCTCAGGTTGGATAGCAGATACTGGTAGTGAGCAGAGATGACTCGTCGGCAGTGTTATGTAGTTAGATCGAGTTTATCTGCTTTAAACAGGAAGCAATCACCACAAAGAATAGTATAAAATATTTGACCAGTTGTAAAGAATTAGTTCATTTACTTACCTCTAATAATACTGGATCCTTAGATTTACTCCCATTCGTGTTTTCACCCTGGTTCGTTTCTGTTTCGTGCACTACACATTCCCCATCATTTCCATCGAATAACTTAGTAGCTACTAATTGCGGATAATCAGATATTGTTCTTTCATCTTGTAGGAATTTGCCTTTCTTTCCACCTTCTGGTGGTAAGTATAAACCATGATTGATGAAATCACTCTCCCGTAGGTTGTATGTCTCAATCGATTGTTTCCTCAATTCACCAATCAATATGTCTGTGCGTACTTTGAACACATACTAAAATGGAATGAGAAAACAAAACAAGGGAAAGTTAATTTTTTGATTATTTTTTAGCCTACTTATAAGTAGTTGAAATTTATTTTTATCAAAAACAACAATTTCGTGGTAAAACAAATGTAGAATTCCGGTCATTAGTATTTCGACTACACGTGTCTAAAAAAAGCTATAGCAATTTCATCTATCCACCTTTGTAACTGGTCTTATAAGCATGGTTGATTAAGGCTGAAATTGCGATTCAGACATTAAGACGACAAAAGAGCAAAGGTCTATTCAAAATGATGTACTGAGGCGGTAGATTTGAAGTGGAAGAATTACAAAACTTTTAAAGATTGTTAAATAGGTGAATTTGTGTACAAATTTTAAAACTGCGAATCAAGTGTCGTGTAAAAAATTAACAGTGTAACAACGAAGATGAAATGAAGTGGAATAAATTAAAGTGATAAAATAAAAATACAATAAAATAAAAGAACATTCCTATGACCCCCTATGGTAAAGAAATCGGTTTAACTAAACATTTATAAACAAAAAGTCCAGGTTTCTGTCCATGTAAAGTTAGAGCCTCAGCTATGCATAAGTAAGCTTTTAGAGTGGGTGAGTTTAAATTCAAAGGATAAATCATATGGGTCCGAATGACCTGACTACTGAACGCGTTCACAGATGAAAGACATTTGTCGTATTTTGCTCACCTAATCGTTACATAGGTCAGAACATCAGTAGATCAGGGCTAGTCAGATTATCAGAAAATAAGTAGTTTGCCGAAGCAATCTGAACAAACTCTTATAGTAGCGCTATTACCAGACATCTCCTCGACACGGGTCATGAGGTGGAAATCGAGAAATCCTTCAAAATGATCAATAGACAAAGGAGCTCTATTCTCCTCAAGTTTACCGAAGCAATTTCTATCAAACGCTTGAAACCAGATTTATGCGTTCAGAAAGAGGCAGTTATTAGTCTTTCCTTGCCCATCCCGGTAACTCGATGTCTTCTTTCTCTCATCTGACTACGTAATCTTTTTTTCTTTAACCTCACCCCCCTTTTATAATCTGTAATTTTGCTTGTCTCTTGTTTCTATGATATGAGTTCAACTCAGTACATTGTTACCTAACTTATTAGTCACTATGCATCCAACGCACATCTCATCTTTATTATGTAACTCCTTTACCATTATATGCATACACTGATTTTGTTTTAACTTGAACTACCTGTGTAAAAACTATATAAGCGCAATTTTCTGAGCACTGTTTACAAATTGTGGAACTTTCTGTCAACTGACAACATGTAAAATGTGCAAGTATGTTAAAACGTTTCTGTACGTAAACGTCATAATTTATATAGGCTGTAAGCAGCTGATGAGAAGCCAACGAACGAAATAAGCAATGATGGTACCATATTATTCTGCACAAACCGCCACTGTTGTTCTTACTTTATTTAAATTCATCAAGAGGAATAAATACATAGAGATGAAGATGTATAGGTTAGAGGAGAAACTCAGCAACTGCGATGCACACATGCTGGCGCACAGTCATCCAGTAGGGTAGGACACAGCCAAAGTTTTAGAAGGTAAGATAGGAAGGCAAAGGGACAGAAAGGTTGATTACTTCATCTTTGTCCTTCAAGTCAGCACTCAGCTTACTTGACGATATCAATCCAACTGCTTTCGCATATATTATCACTGTTGTGCACACATATGATAGATAGATTAAAATAATTGAAGTTTATGTGAAAAATTATCGCCATTACATTTAGACAATTCAAATCAAACTGTGTTATTTATGACTGCTAGCTTATTTTGTTTTAATCATACAAATAAAATTTATGGAGGTAAATTTAAATTTGTACACCTTCTTCATGTAATACAATACAACATAACTGTCGTTTATACTTATGTATTGTGTTAATTAGCAACAGTGAAACTTGAGAAGATTGAGAAAAACATTTGTTTAAAAACTAAAGTTTGCGGAGAAATTAATTTCACTTTAGGTCATTCAAATAAAAATTTGTTAGTTATATCACACACACACACACACACGGTCTATAAAAAGATGATTCTAAATAAGGGAGTTATGCAATTAATTCTAAAAAAAAATTGACATTTTCTAAGAGATTCCAATGAATAGTTTGGAAAGCACTACCACCTGGCATGAGTAGTTTTCAAGTACTTATATTAAGTAATAGTAGAATTAGCAGTATACAGTACAATCATGCTGACGGCAGAGAGAGAGAGAGACACTTAACTTCTCATGGGTTTTGGAGAGAAGTTCACCATCGAGGTTTATAGTTTGTTGATACTGACTATCGATGGGACTTTCCGCAAATCTTCCTGGGGGAATTATAATCAATGATGACGAGTCAAAGTCGATTCTACAACTCATGTCATCATGAGTTCCTTCAAGTTTTGAAGGCACATCATTACTGATGAGTACTTAAAAACACAAAACCAAATTGTTACACAGAGTTTGTTGTGCTGACTTATAACGTGAGAGCATACTGCAGACAAGTGTTAGACAAAGGGATGTGGCAAAGTATTCGGGTAACTTTCGAACAATGGAACAAATAAAACCAACTCATGTGTGTATTATCAAGAAACCATCTTAATATGTAAAACATTGGCTAGGTAGAATATTAACACCATAGTTAAATCAGATGGAAGAGAGAAGATGAGGAAGAAACGTTGGTGTTAAATAGCCATTCCATTAAATTTATTAAAATCACTAAAGCTTACAAGAAAAAGGAGATAGTAGTGTGGAACTACTAGCCATAACATCTCAACAGTTTTACCATGTAAGGAAGGACCATGTGACACCCTACTTAGTATTCTTAAAACAGAAGGAATCGACTTGGTATTTAAACCAATGAACTCACTCTGCGTCAACCTCAGTTAGCTAAAATCACCCTACTGATCTAAGGAGATGAAATAATGTTATCTACGACTGTGAAATCAGCTACTTTAAAGGTAAGAACATCAGCAAATCAAGGATAGTCCGATCTTCGGGAAAATAAGAATTTAACTAGATGTATAATAATTGATCTAATGAGGGGGGCGGGGGGAAACGTTAAGAGAAGAATTCAGCGACCACGATGCACGTATTCAGGCACAGTCATATTGTACAGCAGAATACAGCTGCAGTCTTAAGAATTTATTATAGGTAGGTGGAGGGAGGGAAAGCTTGATCATTTAATCCTTGTTCATTGAATCTACACCTAGTTTATACATGTAACAGAAATGATTCAACACCACTACCAGAGATATGGACAATATTACTATCAATAAAATCAAAGCATGAGAATTAACTCACTTCTATAAATGATATGATAAGGAGGAGCAATAAATTGTGCTTGAATTGTCATCAGTAAGTCAATGAATCCGTTCAAGTAGTTAATAATAAATAATTTTTCCTTCACGTTCCCAGTGGAACATAGGGCTCCAAGCTAGTGGCTTGAAGTTTCTGTAGCAGAGTTTATTTTAGAGGATGGGGTTGCTAGCCCCATACCCAACCTTTCCTCTTTACCAGCATTATTTCTGGCTTAGCAAGGTAAAGGAGTGCGTCCAGTGACCGGGGATCGAACCCTGGACCATATGCATGGTCGGCTAGGATCCTAACCGCTATACCACCGACGCTCCAATGTAAAAGTTTTCCAACTAATTATTTGATGCCAAGTATCTGAATAGTATAGTTAGAGAACAATAGGAAAACTGGGAGTACTTGACAGCTGTTTCCTTCTAGTTTGAGACTCTTCATCAGCAAGCACCCACCCGGGCTAGAAACCCAGGACCTCCTGGTTACAAGGTGAGCTAGTAGAACATTAAGCCACTACGACCCGATGCAATGGCCCATGAATTCTAACTTCTGCGAATTCACGACATAGGGCGACCCAATGTCTAACCAATATTAGCTCATGATGAAATCCTGTAACTTATCAAATCCCCACAAACCAACACTGTGCGTCGGTGGCACGGTGGTGAGGACTCTCGCCGACCATGCACATGGTCGATGCACACCGGATATCTATGGTCGGCCTGCAAAATTTGGGTTACCGATATCACATGCTGAAAATTCCATGCCTGTCTGTACCAAAACCTACGATATGGAATCAAGCTGAAATCAAATTTATGTATACATATATTATTTATGTCATTAATTTATCATAGCAATGACCTACTCTGTTACGATTAGCTTATTACTGATATTTTTTTTTTGATTTACAGCTTGATTCCACACTGTATTTTTGGTACAAGTATGGAATTTTCAGCATGGATATCGGTAGCCCAAATTTTGCAGGCCGACCATAGATATCAGGTGTGCGCCGGCGTGGGCTCGAACCCCGGACCATGTACATGGTCGGCGAGAGTCCTAACCACTGTGCCATATATGCTAAAGTTCACTTTGTTTTCATTTCCCTCTGGTTATTTTCCAGAAGTTGATTCGAGGCTGGTTCATCGCCTATCAGAGTTTCTCCTTGCCTAATTCATTCTCTGTGCGTTGAAGCTTCTCAAGCAGTTTGTTAGGTTTAGCGGTGTAAGGTTTTTAGCCTTATATACCCAACCCTCCCTCTTTACCCGGGATTGGTATCGGCTAGAAAACTAACAAGCTAGATAACTAGGCGAGATCTTCGACACCGTTAGCCTAGATGTGATTTGGAAGCTACTGCAACACTACGGTGTACCTCAAGTCTTTATTGACTTCATTCAACAGCTATGAGACAGTGGTACGTGTCAGTTGATCTATAAGGGAAAACTCAACGAGGCGTTCGAAGTGCATACAGGAGTTGGACAAAGCTGCCTGCCCACCATCACCGATAATACTCTTAATTGTATTTAAATATTCCCATAATAAAATTTACAACAACACATTTAAGTGAACAATATTGTGCTTTCAATTAGATCTCACCATCAGGCTTAACTCGAATATACCTATATAACTTTACAAATAAAAATTCAAATATAAACCAATCATAGTGTTTTGTCTATAGGATAATAAGATTGTGCATATAAATTG